GGCTGGGTTACCAACCAACCATCATCGCCCATAAAATACAGCAGTTATTGCATACTTCGTATGCAATAACTATATATTATTTCATTTCATTCACACATTCACTTACACATTAACTCACGCATTCATGTATTCATTCATTCATTATAGATACAACTTTTCGTAAGCTCAATTATTGATTATTTTGAGGCACTATATGTAAGCAAAAATTTATTCATAAATTTTGAAATTATACTCGTATTATATATATATTCATGAAATTTTTTTAATTTTAGGTTCCACTTTCACAACCAGTGGATGAGCCAATATTCCGTGATCTTGCTAATACGACGATGATCTTTTTAAAAATTATTTCTACCGTCAATATACCACGTAAGATTCATGAACAAAATATGAAACGTATAATTATATACTTAACATATATCTTATCCTATACAATTATTATTTTTAGCTTCAGCACAAATCATTGACCAACGTCCAACAGGTATATTCATTGCTAATGTCGCTGATAAAGTTGGACGTGCATCACAAACAGAAAATCAAATGATAGTTCAATATTTAAAAGATCTCGCTGAAAGTGCATATCAAACAGGAAAAAAAGTAGAAAAAGTTTTCAGTACTGGAGAATATTTAATTACTCGAATTGGTAATGAAATTACTTCAATTAGAGAAACCTTAGTATTGGATACGATTTTATCTAGAAGAAATATTACATTCTTATCAAATAGAATTAATAAACTTTTATTTCAAATAACTGAATTTCGTGATCAATTTAAAGCTATTATTGTAGCAATTGATGCGGAAGAAAAAGTTTGGAATGGAACTAATTATGGTATAAATTCTTTTCCTGATATTGAAAACTATTTTGAATTAATAAAAACAGCAGGTCGTAAAATTTATAAATGGGAGAATATTTTAAATAGCTTAACAATTTTTAAGCGTGGATTTCTGGTCACTTTCGAGGCTCGTAGAGAGGTAGAAAGTGTATTTAGAGTTGCAGAACTAGTCAGAATAGAATTGATTCAGAGTAAAGAAATAATACGTGGTCTAAATAAAAGGAAGATTGTTAGTAGAAGTGATTTGATAAATTTAGAAGGTGTTGAAAAGCTGGCTGAAGTTGTTTCAGCAAGTTGGGCAGAAAAAGATAAATCAGGGATTATTATTCATTAGATTGGTTAGAAATTTTATCTTTTAAAAAAGTTAAATTACTTTCTGTAAATGTTTTTTTTTTTTTTTTATACGTAGCATTCAAAAAAAAATATCGCATTTTTTGAGTACAAATAATTAAAGATGGGTTAAAATATGTATAATTAATTGTTGAAAGTATTAAATAGTCATAATTCAACGTTTTGCATATAACGTAGTTTAAAAATTTAAAAAATTTTTTAGTAAAAATTATTGAACATACGTATCAAGTATGTACTCAAAATCTTATTTAATTTGATTTTATTCTAATCTAATTCAATTGTACTTAATTTAATTTTTTTAAATCTTATTATTATAGGTTCAATTACTATTTAGCTCTTCCTTATAATGCGACGTGGACTTATTTATCTTTGAACAATTGTTCATTTTAAATTTTAAACATTTATCAGCTAGGAAATTTACATTATTTTATCCTGAATATATTTTTTTAATTAAAGGCAAAATTTTTAAATGGAATTTATATTTATACGAATTATTACGTACTATGAGAAAGTATAGAATTCTATAAAATTAAATTTTTTATTTTGCATATAAAAAAAAAATCTTATTTTCTTTGTACAAATAATTATTTAGGACGACTAGATAGGATATTTGATTGTTACAAATATGGATAATATCTGATATATTCTACGACAAAGAATTTTAATTTGATCAAGTAAATATATAAATATTTTTAAAATGATTAAGATCTTGTTTTATAACGATAAAGCTAAATTTATTATCAAGATCCAGTACTGAATAATTAGTAGAAGAATCGATTGATGACAAAAAAAAAACTTCTAGAAATACGTGTTTTATATCCCAGTTTTACATTAAAACTACTGTATGTGATGAAAATGTTTAAAAGTAAACAAACTCGGGCGCGTCATATACAAAATGATAAAAGCGAAATTAAAAGGCAACAATTTGCATCAAATAGAAAAAAGTAAATATTTATTTTAAGATTATTTTTTAGATATAAAAACATATTTAATTTTTTTTATTTTAGCGATGAGACATAAATCCACTGATGTTAATGTATACAAATGAAAGATTTCCATTACAACAATAGTAAAAAAGATTATGTCGTGAACTAGTTTTCAGGTTGCTATTTAAGTAACAGAAATTGAATCAACGTTTAACGTTAAAAAATATATCCATAGTATAAAATAACAATAAAAATGATTTATTGTTAGATATTGAATTGAAAAAAAAAATTGTCTTGTCAGAACGCCAAATTAAAAGCTGCTGAGGCTATCTAATTACAAAACTGGCAATTAAAAAACAAGCTTGAGTTTATAAATTTTAGATAGTTTAAATTATTTATTTTATAATAAATGTGTTTAGTTATATTTGTGCTTAATTCAATAAAAATAAAATGCGCTTGAATTTACTTGCAATTAAATAACGAAAATACTACTGTACTAACACTGTACTACATTACATGCATAAAAAAAATATATCGAATAAGAGGGTTCAAGAACCGAACTTGTAAATTATAATATAACGATTCAATTATAACATTTTCAAAGTGTTAAAGAATAATGTTGGTTTCTTTCTTTCTTTCTTTTTTTTTTTTGGCGTCGCTTACGTATTGAAAAGATACACGGAAACGTTTGCACGTAAATATACACGGGACAATGTACGGGAAAGCAAGTTTACGGCACGTAAAAGGGCGCGGATTCCGTGCAACACTGCACGTATTAACGTGCATTTTCAAGTGTTTCCACGTGCATTGTCCCGTGTATATTTACGTTCAGTAAAGCTCAAAAACGTACGCAACATTCCATATAATTTATTAGTAAAAAAATTATAATGCTGTTTTTCATATAACAAATTATAGCCCTAATTTAAAAAATTCTTATTACAATGTAAAAGACTATTTATTTATTTTATTTATTAATTTAAAAAAAAAATTTACATAAATACTTTAAAAAACAACTAATATATATTTCACCACTCGCTGCGCCGCAATTAGCAAGAAATTAGATTACTAACTTAAGAAAGAAGAACCCTAAACCTTTCCCCAACTTCGATTCGCCACGATGAAAAAAGATGATCCCTAACGAAGCACCAGAAGCGATGAACGACGGCCCAAAAGCGATAAACATTGGCTTCAACAATGACGCTAATAACAACGGTTCCAAAGACAACAAGAAAAAAGAAAAAAAAACATGTTAGTTATGCACAAAACATGAAACTAAAGAAGCAATAACGAAAAAAAACAAAGCAAAAAGGTGAAGGTGAAAAGGGAAAAAGGAAAAGACAAAAAGAAAAAAAAGAAAACAAAAAAAGAAAGTGAAAAAGCGAAAAGGGTAAACAGAGAAAAATATATTATAAAAAAAAAGTGAATTAAAAAAAAACAAACAAAAAAAGTAAACATAGTGCGCGTCAGTGCACGGAAATTTATAATCGTTAAGAACTAGCTCTTAAGACCCGGTCGGTGACCGGGTTCGAGTTTCTAATTTTTTGCTAATTCTTAGGCCTCAATGCTATTAGTTTATAAG